ATGAAAACTGAAACACCTGTATGAATTAACTAAATTGTTCTCATTTTCAACAATGAAAGAAAATTAAAAACATTACTATACATCACTGACTTGGCTCATCTGACAGGAAATAACTCAGATATCACAGCTAATTTTAAATTATATGGCCAATATAACATAAATCATTCTCTAAAACAATATGGGCTCCTTTTTTTAAAATTATTTCTTAGGACTCAGTTTTCCTGAGATATGTAGATATACTTTCTCATGAATAGTACTGCATATTAACAATCTTAAATGAGTAAAGCTATTCCCTTCTGACTTTATAAAATTAAAACATTTTTCAACGTACTTCACATATATATTCACATCCCACAGTAACATGAAAACACTAGCAAAAATTTCCCTAAGAGAGTTCACTATTATTTCAGCAAACTTTAGGAAATTTAAAAAAAGCTGAACAAAATTCAGGATCAATAAGATAGCCATTTGTTACTCAATACGGACTTACCCAATGCCCAATGCTAATGGTACCCAACTCTCCCCAGGCTTACAATTTCATGGATATTAAGACTTCCAAGGGCAAGAAGATAGCTCAGTGGCATAAGTGCCTGCCTGGCAAGCACAAGGTCCTGAGTTTGATCTCTGGTACCAAGAAAAAGGCTTCCAGTATTTGCTGCTCTATCAATGGAGGAAGACACCTCGCTCACAGCTGCAACAGTTCCAGACTCCAGTCTCTGTTCATCAAGCTGCTATCACAGCAGAGAAACAACAGCCAGCAAGATTTCTTCCCTGTTCTTTATCATCCTTGACATCCCATTCCAAACAGGTACTCTTCATTTAAGCTGCTTGGAATTAAGAATACTCTGGTACAAACTACGCATCAAACAGCCCTGCTCATCACTGAGTATGGAGCACACCAGTGCCTTCCTACTACAGAGCACTTTTGTATGCACCCTGAAATTGGATCCTCAAAGGAAATTTTTGGGGGGCCTGCCCCTTAGCTCAGTTCTTTAAGTGACTGCTTCAACAAAGCTGTCAAGCTCAGGTTGCTGTGGTTCGAGCCCACAACTGAAGCCAGCCAAACCTGCCCTGAAGGCATTCGGAGAAAAAAAAAAAAAAGAAATTTTTGGTGTTGAAGGAGAAACATATCACCCTGCCCCCTTTGACAGAAGAGGACAGTATCAAGTGCACAAGTGGCCATCCTTACAGTGATGTAGTGCTACATAAGCCATGGAACTAATGGCCAGCAATGCAGAGCAATGCAGCTGCAAGTCCACAATCAGTCCTGTCCTGAGGCTGTAACACACTGCAACCTATTCTCCTATTCTATATATGCTTTTTCTTTTATGCATTTACTACAGGGTTTACAGGGTCTTACTATGCAGATAGGACTCAGTGATTCTCTTGTTTTCAGCCTCCCAAGCACTGGGATTACAGTATGTACACTTTTTGAGCAACAGCTAGGAATAAAGCATTCAAGCACTGTACTAGGCCACAGAGAGTACCCAGAGAAGAAGAGCCAAGTCTCTGACACTAGGAGTTTATATTCTGGTGAAGGAAAGACAAATACATAATTATAAGCCAAAAAGTGACTCTGGGGCTGGGGAGATAGCTCAGTAGAATAAGTGCCTGCCCGGCAAGCACAGGGTCCTGAGTGCGATCCCCAGTACCACAAAAAAAAAAAAAAAAAAAAGTGACCCTGGCCAGAAAAAAGTTTAGGAAGTCAGAAGTAGTGTGGTACCTACAAAGGGTCCCTCTTGTCTCAAATACTTTTCAAGTTTAACAGGATACAATTCTTAGTATCTATGGGGACTGAAGTGGTCTAGCACACCATGAAAATACCAAAATCCAAGATGCACAAACCCCTTACATAAAATGCCACAGCATTTTTTTTTTTCATCTTTTTGACATAGGGTCTCACAATGCAGCTCAGGCTGACCTTGAACTCATCTTGTAGCCCCAGCTGGCCTCGAACTCAAAGGGATCCTCCTGCATCAGCCTCTTAAGTGCTGGGATTACAGGTATGCACCACAATGCTCAACCACAACATTTGCATTTAACCTACATTCTTCTTCTGTATGCTGTAAATCAGGACTATGTGGCTTATAATACCTAATATAATGCAAGCGCTATGTAAATAATTGTTACACTGTACAGTTTGGAGAATGACAAGTGAAAAAGTTTGTATGTGTTCAGTACAGCAAAATACCTTTTGAAAAATGTTATAGCATGATTGATAGAACCTACGAATACACAGGGCTAGCTGCATAAGGTTTCTTTCTTCACTGAAACGAGGAGCCAGTTCTACTTCATTGTCCTGTCCACTTCAGTATCGTGGCGAGAAGGGGTAAGCAGGACTGGCAAATAAAAGAAGAGCCAACAGGACAGGTCTGGGTTTCTCTGGTATATTCTATGCTTCATTTAGGCCAGAAGCATAAAGTAGTAGGACAATTTTGTCCTACTTCTTAGAAATGAAAGATTTGCTTGACATTAACAAATTCACCTCTTTAGAAAAGGTAGGCCTGACAGTACAAGTCACTTTACAAATAAAAAGCTTTCCATCAAAAACAGATTATTCCTTAGGTTGGAGTGACTGGTAGAGAGCTAGAAAAGAGAAGAAAACTGTGCAACATAAAGCCCTTGGAATTTGAATTCATGACCTTCACTGCAAGCTGGGAATGATAAGTTCACTAACATCAGAAATTGCCAGCTAATGCTTGCAAAAGTATGTCACAGTCCAGAGGAACAAGAATAGGTTAAAAAAAAAGGCTTAAAGAAAAGAAAGATACCCTTGTCCACAAGAAGTGCTAAAAAATAGTAAACAGATATGAAGTATTCAAGTGCTTCTTGGGCTAACTGTGGATAATATCCATAATACAAGGAAGTGCTTGGGAAGCCAGTCCCAAGAAGCTGCTAGCGTGAATCATGCTCCCATGGAGACCACAGGAACACTTCACATGCACCATGTTCACGTTTACCTCAGCAGAAACCCAAGACTCCAGGCCATCTGTTTCCTAGACACTTGCCCTCCTGCAGCTCCACACTTCCCTATACTTGTGACACAAGCTCACAACCACCCATGACCCTGTTTCCTACCACTGTAGGAAGACCTGTGCTCAGCATCACCGCCCACTGAGATATGCCCAGGCTCTCCTGTCTGAATCAGCAGCACCCAGCCCATTCTGAACCTCTGACTGCTCTACTGTCCTCCTTAGCAATTCTACTGAATATCAATTTTTCTTTGTCTACTGCCTGACTTCCCCACAAGAATGAAAATTGATGTAAACTCTGGAATGGAAAAGACTGTCTGATGTATCTCCAATGATCATCACAAAGCCCATATATATTAAGTTTAAGAGCTATTCACGGAATGAACAAAAGAAGTATACATAAGTCTTTTATATGCTTTTAAAATAATTTTACCGCTTTACTTGCCAAATTCCTTTTAGCATATGTAATGAATAAGTAGGGACATTTCTACACAGTTACCTAAAACACATATAATATAAAGATATACATCCAAGATTTCTAAGAATACTGAAGTGGGAAAATAAAATAGGCACCCAGAGGACTCAGTAACTAACATATAACAAGGTCCAAGAGGGTGGGTAGGAAACAGTAATTTGCAAAATTTACATTAAAGCTCAAAAAAGCTAGCTTTTCTACCAAATAAATGTCCTTTCTTTCACCTTACCCAAAAAATAACAAAAACATCAGAATTCTAATTTCTATGATAATAAAAATGCCTTTGAAAAAGAGACATGCTAAAGAACCTGTCCTCATTAAGAAACACATCTATTCTTACTTTTTAACTCATAAAACCAGAAAGAGCTAAGTGATCCCTCCTTCTCTACCACCCTGCCCTAGGATCTGTACCCAGGTCTTTGCACTGAGCTACATCCTCAGCCCTTTTTACTAGTTTGATTGGGAAAGAATCTTACATCTCGGCCAAACCACCCTGAACGCACCCGATCTCATCTGATCTCAGAAGCTGAGTGGAGCTGGGCCTGGACAGTACTTGGATGAGAGAGAGGGTCTTGCTAAGCTGCCACGGCTGCACTCGAACTACTGATCCTCCTGCCTCAACTTCCCAGACTACTGGGATCATAGTTCATTGTGCCACCATGCTAAGCTTGCTGTTATTTCTTTACAGTTGAATCCTCAAACATCTATTATTCCATCTTTCCTTTTTACTGCCAACCTTCTCCAACTGTGGGCTTCATAATTTCTATTTTCTTGTACCCCAATTATCTCCTTAATTCTCTTCCTCTAGAATGAGGTCGCTGTTTGCATAGTCCTCTGAAACCACAATAGAAGAGAGCATTGCACTGCAACATCTCAGAAACAAAGTCTATCAAATCCCACAGCATCTTCTCCATCCACATTTCTCACCTGACCACTCTACTTTGCTAAATGCTCATGAGCAGTCCCACGCCCTCAGCACCATCTTCCCTGATCTCTACAAGCCCTCCTCTCCCACTCACATCGTGGCCCTCTTCACAACAAGGCAGCCACTATCCTCAGGGGCATGCATGACCTCAGCTGTTACTTTTTTTAAGACAGGGTCTCACTACATAGTTCAGGCTGGCCTTGAATTCACTATGTAGCTCGGACTGGCCTCAACTCATAGCGATCCTCCTGCGTCAGCCTCCCAAGTGCTGAGATTACAGGTATGTGCCACCACACCCGGCTTTAAGTCATTTTTTAAAATCATTTAAAAATATCTATATGCACCTACTATGTGCAAGATAATAAAACAGAACCTAGGATGTAAAAAAAAGAACAAAGAAATTAGGTCACTGCCTTCAGATCTTAGCAACTACAAAGAAAAAACAGTTCTGCTTAAATCAGCAGGGAGAAACACACAGCTTGGAAACTAAATGATGAGACTTTTTCCCACTAATTGCCTTAGGTGGCAGTGTTTCAACATGAGCAATCTGAGGCAAGAGGCAAACACCAGAGGCAAAATAATTTACAAGGAAAAAGAGCAAAACGGAAAGGAAAAAGACATTACTCACTGATGTAAATGCCAGCAGCTCCTCTTCAGTTAATTTATGCACTGGGTTATTCTTTTGAAAATTTGTGCTTTGAATTAAGAAAAGAAATGCATTAATTCTAAAACACTGTACCCTGTACCTAATGAAATATAACTTTAAAAATAAAAATAAACTGCTATATTTTATATCTTTGAGTAGCAAGTATAATATGCCATTATATACACACATAGAAATGAGTTTGCCAAAGCCAAGCATAAAAAGTAATAAAATACAAATGAAATGTGGTTGAAGCACTTAATGCCAATATAACTTATCAGGCTAAGAGAAAAGAAATCTAGTCTGTGCTATTCAGCAAAGAAAATCAAATGCGTTATTGTGGCGCCAGCTCCTTTTCATTAAACTTATGCTATAAAAATGTATTGCTTTAACAACTAGATAAGTAAAAATTATGATGCTGTCAAAGAAGCAAGCATTAGGAATTCTAAGATCCTGTTGATGCAAGTATAATTAGCAGAATCATTTTGAAAAACAATTTGACACTGTCTCGTGTAGTAAACATTCACAGAGCCTCAATTCAAAGAAATTAAAGAATGGGTGGACCAGACATGACATACATAAATATCCACAGTGATACTGCTAGTAATAGGAAAAACCTGAAAACAATCCAAACGTCCAAAGGAAAATGATAAATTGTGATATAGTCATCCAATGAAATGCTACCCTGAAAATTTAATGGCAGCTAAAGATAACTACATGAATCACAGAAACAAAATAATGAGAGGAAAAAAGCAAACCATATGTCATAAAATAACACTTTCATAAAGCTTACTAAGGGAAAACTGAAATAGATATATAAAACAAAAAGCTAAGTATTTTTAAAGGCAAGAAAATGACAAACACAAGACGATAGAATATTCTTTTAAGGAGGCAAAAGAAGGAAATACTGAAAAAGTGCAGGGGCTAGGATATCACCTTGTAAAATACTTCCTCTCAATTTTCAATACTGCTTGAGGATTTTATAATAAACATAAAATGTTTATACATAATCTTTAAAGAAGCCTATTTTTACTGCTAGAAAAAAAAAAGAAAGAAAGAAAGAAAGAAAGAAAGAAAGAAAGAAAGAAAGAAAGAAAGAAAAAAACAGAGAAGTTGGGTGTGGTGGAATATGCTTGTAACCCTAGCACTTTGGGAGGCTGAGACAGGAAGATTTCAAGTTTAGGCTCAGCCTGGACAACTCAACAGCTTGGTAAGGCACTGTCTCAAAATCGGATTGGGAATTCAGCTCACTGCAAAGGCCCTAGGTTCTATTTTTCAGCACTGAAAATAACCACTCCAAAATAAAAGATCATCCAAAACAGAGCAAAGTTCTTCTCTCACATAAAATTTTTATCTCTCACATAAAAATCTCAATTCTATAACGCTGTTGCAGCTATTTATACTGAAAAATTATGTGTCATGAACTGAGCAAATACTTTTTTGTGGTAAACATAAATTCTGTCATGAATCAAATAATATGACAGGCAAATGCCTCAGACTTAAGAAATAGAACCCCATTATGTGTGGTCTCTCTTGAGCATATAAAACAATGGACTACAGAAATGAATTCAACTTTTGCATAAATGAAAACCTGTTCCTAAATGAGTTGGCTGATTTGTTTTTTATTTTTATTTTTTGGCGGAACCAGGGATTGAACTCAAACCTTTGCGCTTGCCAGGGAAGCATTTATTCCACTGAGCCATCTCCCCAGCCCTATAAATGCTGTTACTCGTGTTTTTGTTTTTGTTTTGGCGGAACTAGGGATTGAGCTCAGGGCCTTGTGCTTGCCAGGCAAGTGCTTATTCTACTGAGCCATCTCCCCGGCCCCACCTGTTCCTATATGAGAGGAAAAGAACAAAATAACATTACATAGGAAAAGCCTGGTAAATGACCACGGAATGGTACATAGGCAAAGTTAGTATCACCAGTAGTAGAACAAATCAAAATGTTTTTTACTTTCTAGGAAGCAGGAACCACTAAACTTTGCTCCTTCGGGATCTCTGCTAACAGTGTATAAAATAAATGTAATCATTAAACAAAATTAGACAAGTTCACATTGTGGGAAGGTCTAAAAAATAACTGGCTTGTAAATTTCAAGTGTTAAGGTCATAAAGGTCAAGCAAAACAAAAAATAAAAACTATTACAGATTGACAAAGACTAAAGATGCATAACAACTAAACAGAATATATGGGTCCTGGACTGCATCATTTCCTCTAAAGGCCATTAGGACAACAGAGAAAATTAGAACGGGGTCTAAAAATTAAATGATGGGGAAGTGGTTTTTATTGTGTTGCTGCTGTTGTTGTTGTTGCTGCTGTCTTTTGAGACAGGGTCTTGAAGTTATGGTGATCTTCCTGCCCCTGCCTCCCAAGTGCTGGGACCACATACATATACCACCATACCTGGCTAAATAATAATAAAGCTGAATGTTAATTTTCTGATTTTGATAGCAGTATTGTAGCCATATAAGTGCTATTACTTGTTGGAAACACATTAATGTATTCAGAAATTTATTCTCAAAAGCTCCCCTTGAAACACTTTTCAAATTACTTCAAAATAGAAAAGAAACTGCTACAGCTTGTGAATAGGTGCCCCCACCCCCACCCTGGGAAGCCTCGTGCAGCCACAGGCGGGGTTTCTTCAGAAGGGGCGAGATCTACAGTATGTGATGCTGGAATTGATCCCTTATGTGATGTTAGGATCAAAGACAGTAGGCTAAGGATGTGAGTGCTGCCTGCCCTAAGTGGCCTGGATGAGACAGGAGGAGAAAGAGCTGCGGTCAGCCTTGCTGCCGTGTTACCTTCTGCCCACCGTGAACTGCATCTCCTCCACAATGCCCGTCAGCCACACCACCCTGCCTTGGAGACAGCCAACTGTGGACTGAAGCCTCTACAAAATAAAACCTAAATAAACCTTTACTATCTGAATAAAGCTTTCCACCCTCTGGGTGTTGGGTATTCTGCCTCAGCAACAAGAAAAGTACAAGAGATTTGAAAAATGATTTCCACTGCACATAAGACTGTACAGCATTAAAAACTAATTCCATCCCTTAAAAATGTAAATACCAGGTGGGAGATAGCTCAGCCATCTAACTGCCTGCCTGGCAAGTGCAAGGACCCACATTGGCTCGCCAGTACCTCATGCTGTGCCGGCCCCCAAATCCTGGGTGCTTTGTCAGCCCCGAAACTGGGCATGGTGGCATACTCCTCTAATCCCAGCACTGGGGAGGCTGACACAGGAGGATCACTACAAGTCTGAGCTGCGCAGTGAGACCCTGTACCAAACAAATAAAAATAAAAAGTGAATAGCAAGCTGGGCATGTTGGCGCACACTTGTAATC